TCACACACTCGCACGCACATACTCACTCCCTCACACACACACACTCTCACACACTCTCTCACACACATACTCACTCCCTCACTCCCTCACAGACGCATTGGTGCCATTGTCCTGGGGTCCGTTGCTGCCCTGGCGGCCCTGCTGGGTGGCATAGTCCTATTTGCACCGTGCGTCCCGTGTCTCGGTAGGTAGAATTGTATACCTACCTACAACTACAGCTGCTGCGTTAACAGGAGTCACGTGTGCGTTCGAGTGTCAATAATTACCTCAATGCCGTTTGCGTGTATTGTATAATATCCTGAACGTAGCCATCATTCTTACATTGCCGAGCAATCTAAAAATAGCATTATCCCTCTAACTTTGCCGAGTAATCTAAAAATAGCCTCCATGCCATCCCCTGTGTCGCAGTTCCTGTTGCGGGGGTGATCACGTCTCTCTTCTTCAGTCTGTGCTGCTGTTGCTGTGGCAAACGCCGCAAGAACAGACGGGCCGCCGAGAAGGAGTACAATAAAAGGTAGGTATATTGTTTCTTATACACCAAAAGGTACATATATATATATATTACTTCAACAAAAGGTGGGTATAAAAGTAGTTATACAAATAATTTACGACAAAAGGTAGGTGATTATATGTTTTAATTTGATGTGTGGACATATGGGTTGCTTAACGTGGCAATCTGTGGCATGTGACGTGTATTTATTTATAGCACGAAGACGGCAAATAGATACTACAGAAGTGGTAGGTAAACTGTGTCTTTGCGACGATTTGATTGGTGATTGCGATGGTCTGTGGCAAAAAAATTATTGCGGTAAGAAGTAAACCTTTGTAGCGCAAGTAGTTAAGTAGAAAATTGGGTGTAAATTGAAAAGCATATGCATGAGCATTTAACTCAATTGAACTGATGTGTACATTTGTACCTAGCAAGCATATGCATGTGCATATAACTCAACTACGCCGATGTTTATATTTTTTGTACCCTATACCCACAGCAAGGAGACAGCGACGGACGATAAAGCTAAAGCCAAGGAGCAGGACAACAAGGACAAAAAGAATAGGAAACAGAACAGACAAGACAACCAACAGAGCGACAGCAGTGGCAGTGACTCATCGGATGAGGACAAAAGCAGCCCTAAGAAACCCTCGAGGTCTAAAAAGGGCAAGAAGCGGTATGTGACTCATTGTCGTTGCTATGGCAACGAACAGGAACAAGTCCAAATTGTTGTTGATAACGCCGTGGTTGGGTTTGCTGTTCACGAAAACACGGCACTCTACGTGTTGTACAACCCAACCCTAAAACCGTAAACTCAAACACAACATACGCCCCTTCTCCGTAGGCCCGAACGTCTGTCCAAACCAATTGATGGCAGCAACAGCAGATCAACACTGGGGGCATCATCCACTCCCCCTATATCGCCACAGTCAACACACGCACGTGTATACACAAACGCATACACTTCACATTCTACACCCATGCACGCACACATACAAACATACACTACACCGAGTGACAGGTTGAGTGTGCTGATGGACGCGGATATGTACAGTCGAGGGGGTCTGTCACACCACACAGCACCAATGGTATGTCATGCATGTTTTTATACATGTATTCACATAA